TAAAACTAAGATATACAGTATCATAAACAGTGTTTTTTAAAGTGTCAACAAACTGGGAAGAAATATTTACAACACAAATGGCAAAGGACTGATTTTCTTATTATGCCCAGAGCTTTTACAAATTAATAAGAAAAAAACCAACTCTACCCAAAAAATGGACAAAGGAGTTAAGTAGAAAGAGAAATACTCAGCTTTAGTGGTTGGTGATCAGCAGCTAACTTATCCGTTGGCAGTTCAAATCCACCCAGAGCACTACAGAAGCAAGGCCTGGCAAGCTGCTTTTGCACAGATTGCAGCAAAGAAAACCCTACAGAGCAGTTCCACTCTGCAACGGGTGGGGGCGCCATGAGTTGAGGGCCAGCTTTACACAACAGAAATTACATTTCATTGTATTCATAGTATTGTCGAAAGTATAGGAAAACAGATTTCGTCCCTATGGTGGGTGGGAGTTTTAGTTGATGAGGTTTTTTGTAGAGACGTTTCACAATAGCTATCAAAATTTTTTTAAAAATACACTCACCTTTTGACTACTGTACTTCCTGTTAGAATTTTATCAAAACAACATATTCAGTCTCAAAATTTGGTAATATCTACATAATTATTATTACACGATTGTTTAGTAGTAAGAAACTAAACAGCTCATGTCCGTGTTTGGAGGCCCAATTAAATTTAAAACTAAAAGTAGAGAATTATGTATGCTGGAGTAGAAATTTTCCAAAATATGAGGGGCTTCCAAAAGTCTGTAGGAAAATGGAATGAAAATATGTAGTTTTCCCACAAACTGATTGAAGCCCCTTCATATGGAGTTGGATGGTAAAGCAAACTACAGAGTAATATGAGTGGTGTGAAAGGAAAGAGCTAGGGAGGTCAGAAGGTGGGTGGGTGGATGGGGGCTATGGCGTCAACTCCTCATGGAGACTTTATACACAAGAGATTAAAACGTTACCCAGCCCTGTGTCTTCCTCACTGTTGCCAGTGTGTTCAAGTCCATTGGTGATGTTCCTGTACCAATTCCACTCACCGAGGATTTCACCAGTCATGATGTCCCCCTCCAGCAATTCATGCCCCCAGATGACATAGCCAAAGCAAGTTGTGTTTGGACCCTTCTGGTTTTCAAGGCCTGCTTTTCAGAAGTACATCACAAGGCATTTCTGCCCGTTCTTCCTCTGGAAGATCTGATGAAACCTGTAAACCTGTCCACCATGGATGACCCTGCTGGTGTCTTAGCTGCTCAAGGCATACCTTTCCATATCACAGCAACATACAAGCCACCAGAGTGCACCAAACTGACAGATGGGTGCGATGGTGGTGGTGGTAGGTGCTGTCGAGTCAGTTCCGATTCATCACAACCCTGTGTACAACAAACTGAAGCACTGCCCGATCCTATATTGGCCTCGTCTTTGTTCCTCTCGTTGAGTCCATTGTTGCAGCCATTGTGTCAGTCCACCTCTTGGAGAGCCTGTCTTTTCCACACTGACCTACGTTACCTAACATGGACTGGTACCTCCTGATTTATCCAAAGTACATGACACCAGGTGTCACCATCCTATCGCTAATGAGCATTCTGGCTTTACTTCTTCCAACACAGATTTGTTCACTGTTCTGGCTGTTGTGGTTATGTGCCGTGGAGTCGGTTCCGACTCATAGCGACCCTGTACAGGGTTTCTGAGGCCGTAAATCTTTACAGGAGCAGAAAGCCTCATCTTTCTCCCATGGAACAGTTGGTAGTTTTGAACTGCTGACCCTGAGGCTAGCAGCCCAATTCGTAACCACTACACTACCAGAACTGTAGCCAGCCCCTCGGTGTATTTAATGATCTTGTCAATACCACAGTTTAGATGCATCCATTCTTCTTTGATCTTCGTCATTCAGTTGTCCAGCTTTTGCCTGCAGAGGAGGTGATTTAAAATACAATGACTTAGGTCAGACACACTTTAGTCTTCAAGGTGACACCTTTGCTTTCTAAAAGAAACCTGACTTGCCCAATGTAATATATTATTTACTATTTATTTGCCTGATTGCTATTTCCATGGGCGTTGATTGTAGATCCATGTAAAATGAAATCCTTAACAACTGCAAACCTTTTTATATGTATCATAATGTTGCTTATTGGCCCAGTGTGAAGATTTTTGTTTTCTCAAGATTGAGGTGTAATCCATATTGAAAGCTGTGCTCTTTGATCTTCATCAGTAAGTGCTTCATGTCGTCTTCTCTTTCAGCAAACAAGGGTGTGGCATCTACATACTGCAGGTTGTTAATGAGCCTTTCTCCAATCCTGATGCCAACTTTTCTTCATATAGTCCAGCTTCTTGGATTATTACTTACACAACATAGAGATCTAATAAGTCTGATGAAAGGATACAACCCTGACACACAGCATTCCTATTTTAAAACCACATAGTAACTATCCCCTTGTTCTGTTCATGTGATCACCTCTTATTCTCCATACAGGTTCTGCGTGAGCACACTGAAGTATTCTGAAGTTCTCATTCTTTGCAATGTTATCCATAATTTGCTGTGATCCACACAGCCCATTGCCTTTGCATAGTCAGTAAAACCCAGGTAAACAGTTTTCTGATATTCTCTGCTCTCAGTCAAAATCCATCTGAGGTCCACAGTGATAACCAAGTCTTTGAATCCAGTTTGAATTTTGGCAGTTCCCTGTTGATTTACCTGTGGCAACCATTTTTCTTAAATTATCGTCAGCAAAATTTTAGTTGCATGTGGTATTAATGATATTATTTAATAATTTCTACACGCTGTTATATCCTCTTTCTTTGAATTGGACACACCTGTGACTCCCTCCCAGTCGATGGGTCAGGTGAGATAGTGATGCTCTGGTGTCGCATCCACTTTTGAAAGATCTCCAATTCCTGGAACTTTGACTTTCACCAGCACGTCAGTACAGCTTGGACCGCTTCTTTAGTACTGTCGATTCTTGATCCAGTACTACCTCCTGAAATGGTTGAATGTTCGGTGATTGTGTTTGGCACAGTGACTCTTTGCATTGCTTCTGTCTTCTTTTGATAATTCCAACATCATTCAAGTTCTCACCCTTTAATATTTCAAATTGAGACTTGGATTTTTTTCTTCAGTTTTTTTTTTGTTTATTTGTTTGTTTGTTTGTTTTTTACCTTTAGAAATTTTGAGCGTATTCTATCTTTTTAGTTTACTAACTCTAGGTCTTTGCACATTTCATTATAATACTTTGTCTTCTCAAGCTGCCCTCTGAAATCTTTTGTTCAGCTACTACTTCATCATTTCTTCTGCGTGCTTTAGCTACTTTGTGTTCAAAAGCAAATTTCAGAGTCTTCTCTTTTTTCCTATTTTTAATGACTTTTTAATTTCTTCATGTGTGATATCCTTAATTTCATCCCACAACTTGTCTGGTCTTCAGGCATTCGTGGTCAGTGCATCAAATCTAGTCTTGAGAACATCTCTAAATTCCGGTGGAATATACAGACGGCGAGTTCAGTTTGAATTGCAAGACAGATGGTTCGAGCTCACCAGCTGCTCCTCAGAAACCCTTTACAGGGTCACTATGAGTCAGAACCGACATATAACAAAGACACATAACCACAACATATGTAACATTGCACTTTGTCTCTTATGAGCTTGTCTGAATTTTCTTCAGTTTCATCTTGAAATTACATATGATCAATTGCTTGCCTGTTCTGCAGTCAGCTCCTGGCCTTATTTTTACTGATGATATTGAGCTTCTCCATCATCTCTTTCCACGGATGTAGTCGATCTGGTTCCTGGGTATTCCATCCAGCAAGTCCCATGTGTATATTCCCTGTTTATGTGATGGTCAGTATCATCTCTACCACCAAGGCCGTCCAACTACTGGTCCTTCTTTGCTTCCAACTATAGCGTTCCAGTCACCAGTGATTATCAGTGCATCTTAATTGCATGTTTAATAAACCTCAGATTCCAACTTCTTCATCTTTGGCGTTAGGGTTTGGTATATAAATGTGAATACTAGTTATATTAACGGGCCTTCCTTGGTAACAGCATATGGCTGTTACCATATCATTGGCAGCATTGTACTACAGGTTAGATCTTGAAATACTGTTTTTAATGATGAACATGACACCATTCCTCTTCAATTTGTCATTCCTGACACAGTCAACCCTGTGATTGTCTGATTCAAAATGGCCGACGCCAGTCCATTTCAGCTCACTAATGCCTGGGATATGATTTCTGTGAGTTCCCTTTCACTTTTTGACAGCTTTGGAGTTCCCTAGATTCATTCTTGGTACGTTCCCTGTTCTGATTATTAGTGGATGTTTGGAGGTGTCTCTTCTCATTTTGAGTCATGCCACATCAGCAAATGAAAGTCCTGAAATCAGGCTCTGCCCCATCGCAGCCATCATTAAGGTCAACTCTACTTTGAAGAGGCAGCTGGTTCCTAGTTGTATTATGAGTGCTTCTGACCTGAGGGGCTCCTCTCCCAGCATTATAGTAGACGGTGGTCCTCCACTATCCATAACGTTATCAGTGGCTATGTTTTCAGAATCGGACCCCTGGCCCTCAAGGTTGGCTTGAATTGCAAGGTCGATGGTTCAAGCTCACCAGCTGCCCTTCGGAAACCACATACAGGGTCGCTATGAGTTGGAACAGACTCAACAGTACTTTACAACAACAAGTACTTCCTTCTTCCTAGCATGTCTTAGTCTGGAAGCTCTGCTAAAACCTGTCCACCGTGGGTGCCCTGCCGGTGTTTAAACTAGCGGTTGCATAGCTTCCAGCATCATAGCTACGTGCAAGTCACCAAAGTGTAGCAAACTGACAGACGAATGGTGGTGAGTGAGCATAGGGACTTTATCTTACACGATATTATATTATATATTGGTAGTGCAGTGGCTCCATACACTAAGCCCTGGACTACAAACCACAAAGTCCACAGTTCAAGTCTACCAGCAGCTCTGCAGGAGAAAGAGAAGGCTTCCTGCTCCTCAAAGATTTAAAGTTCAGAAACCCTGTACAGGGCTGTTATGGGTTGGAAGTGCCTTGATGGCACTCAACAACAACAACAATATTACATTGTATTTCTATGCATAAACCGAAAACAATTAGCATACGAAAGGACGCTAACCAAGGAAAGGAAAGGACATAGTATTTCCTATTGGGGCATCTGGCGGTTTAAAGCACTGATCACAAGCTTTATGTTTGAAAGGCACGAAAGTGCTAGTGAGGTGGCTCTGCACCACCATTGTCTGTTTTCACCCATATATCCCGACCCCAAGACACCCCGTGTTTTTCTGTAAGTGGTGAACATTTGAATGCCTTTTAAAATAATTGTGTAATTTTTACTTTTCTGTATTCCCAGGTTTGTTATTATGTGAGCATATGCTATATTCATATGATGTAAAAATAATAAACTTATTTTTAGAGATTTTCTGCAGATTAGGAGGAAAGGAATGCTAATTATTGACCAGGGAATTCATTCCGAGATCCTGGGAAGTAGAAGCGTGTCGAGAGTAGTGGGAAGCATTCCGAGTCTCCCCATTAGGTACTGCAGTCGCATTTGCATTCCATTATAACTTAGATGGGACAGCTGTCACATCTATTCAGTACATCCTTTATCCCAGCCAATTCCTTCACTGTGTCAGCAGAATATAAATGCATCATTCTTCTTGGGCTAACTTCCGAAAACAATGAGTGCATGATGATGGGGTCTGTCTTTCTTTTAAATATCTTGGTATTGCAAGAATGACTTACATTGAGGAGAACCTTCTACATAAATTGCCACATGTCAAGCCCTACAGAATGCACGCCTCACATTATGCAAGATCCAGTTACCAAGTTGGGGTATGAGAGATGAAGAAGCAGCTCTGCAGTGCACGTGGCCTTCTGAGTGAGCACTGTGGGCAGCCGCGTGTTACAGTTAACGCTAGCTGATCACAGTAGCACCAAAGCTCAGTACATCTCAGTTGGTAAACAAGGTGACCAGTCTGGCTTTACGCTAGCTGATCATGGTAGCGCCAATGCTCAGTACATCTCAGTTGGTAAACAAGGTGACCAATCTGCCTTCATTCTCTTCCTTTTCAGAAAGCTGCACGAGACACAGATGGCTACCACCTCAAAGCTGGAGGAAGCGGAACACAAGGTTCAGACTCTGCAGACAGGTCTGATGTTTTACATCCTAGTCAAGCTGGTGGAGGGAAGGCTGGAGGGAGAGATGTCTGGTCGCTCTCCTGCTTCCTCTGAGTTTCCCGTGGTCCCCCTTGTCTGGCTCAGAGTGAGCCCACAGAAGCTGCTGAGCCCCCACGCTCCAGACTTCTGAGAGGCCCATACCATGGCTCTGTCTTCATTACTCACTGGCATTGAGGGTGTTAATTTCTGTCTTCATCCTTTGCACACGCCACCATTCTGTCTGCTCTTTTTTCAACAAAGACATCTAAAGCTCCAAACTGTCAAGGACTGGCATTGCATTTAGAACAATAAGTAGGCGGGGCTGAGGTGGATGTATTTCTAAAGTTTTTACACTTTTTTAAAACTTCCTTTTTGGCTGGGGTCAGGGGGCGGTGGGGGCAATGCCTGCTGGAAGGAAAGCAGCCTTGCATTAATTTAAATGTAGAAAAATCAATAGAAGGCATCATAAATCCCAAGTGAAAACACAAATGACAGCGTAGGAGCAAAATCATTACACATTGAACAGGCCAATGAGAGTAATACCCAGAAAACATAGAGACCTCCTACAAAGCAGCACAGATAGAGAAACAATCCAGTAGGAAAATGGGCAAAGGGTATGAACAGGTGATTGGCAGAAGAAATGCCAGTGGCTGGTACCCATATGAAAAAAGTGTTCAAGCTCATTTTAAGAATCAGGGAGATGTAATGAAGCCAGTGAGAGATATTTTCGCCTGTCAGACTGTCAAAAATGTTTTAAATTGATAGTATCTGGTGGTAGTGAGGACGTGGGAAATAGTTCACTCCAGCTATGGATGGGTGGTGTTTCCGGCAGTGGAATTGTGTGAGCTGGGCACACCAGCTACTGCGCTCCCAGGTGTCCAGCAGTGTGTGGCACGGGCTTGGCTCTATACAACAGCTAGTGAGTGCCAAGGCCTGACATGGAGACGTCTCCGTGACACACTGCAAAGGGAGGAGGGACCAAGGCTCTAGCAGTACTTCCATGATGCCCTTCAGGGAGAAAGAAACAGGCCTGCAGCTGTGTTTGAAACTAGGTGTTTAACAGCCTGAAATTATTTAACCCAGTGGTTGTCCCTTGGATGACACAAGGCAGAAGGAAGTGCACTTTTGTCATCTTTGACTCTCCTGAAGGGAATTCATTTCAGCCGTTCATATTTTACATTGTGGTTTTATGTCCTCTACCTTTCAGCCCTGGAAAAAACTCGAACAGAATTATTTGACCTGAAAACCAAATACGATGAAGAAACAACTGCAAAGTAAGTTTCTGCTTGCTTCCGCTATCAGTATGCATTTGATTGGTTATCACCTAATGTTGCCAGTTCATGTAAGATGACTGTCTATTGGCAGGCTTAGGAAAGGGCTGGGATCTCAGCACTGTTCTGAGGGATGCAGTCTCATCTCAGATAAGGTTCTTATATCTGTTTGATACCTAGAGTATTATAGCAAGATCTAATGCTCACTGGGAGTGCGGGGCCTCGCTCCATAGGATAAGCAACGGACTGCGAACCACAAAAACAAGATCTGCAGTGCGAGCCCACCATCCACCCTGCAAGAGAAAGATGAGGCTTTCTCTTCCCACAAAGATGTGCAGAACTTACTAACACGTGCTCGCTGCCAATACTTCCAACTCGGACTTCTTTCCCTTAATTATTTTGAGGCCTGGTCAGCATAATACCTTTTTCTAAGAGAGTTAGGGAGAGAGCATCATCTGGAAGCAGAAGTGTACTGGTATTGGCCATTGTGAACCAGATGGTTATATGACCTAGTATACTGGGAATGAATCATTGCAAAGGAGTGGCATCACATTCAGCATCATAAAGAACATTTCAAGATCTATGCTGAAGTATGATGCTGGCAGTCCATAAGCCTACAAGGAAAACCAGTTAATACAACTATTATTCAAATGTATGCACCAACCACTAATGCCAAAGATGAAGAAATTGGAGATTTTTCAGTCTGAAATTGATTAAATATGCAATCAGGATGCATTGATAATCACTGGTGATTGGGATGCTGAAGTTGGAAACAAAGCAGGAACAGGAATTGGAAAACGGAGCCTTGGTAATAGAAGTGACAGGGGAGACTATGTGAGAGAATTTTGTGAGACCAATGACTTATTCACCGCAATTGCCTCTCTTCAACAATGTCAAAAATAACCATACACCTGGACCTCACCAGATGGAATACACAGGAATCAAATTGACTACATCTTTGGGAGGAGAGGATGGAAAAGCTCCATATCATCAGCCAAAACAGGCCAGGGCTGATTGTGCTACAGAGCATCAATTGCTCATATGCAAATTCAGACAGAAGCTGAAGAAAATTAAAACAAGTCCATGAGCGCCAAAATACCACCTTGAGTATGTTCCACCTGAATTTAAAGATCATCGCAAGAATCATTTTGAAGCATTGACCACTAATGAGGTGGACATCAAGCATGACGAAAGCAAAGGGGCATTAAAAAGACAAGAAAGAAAGAAAAGACCAAAGTGGATGTCAGAAAAGAATCTGAAACTTTATATTGAACAGAGAGTAACCAAAGTGAACGGAAGAAATTGATGTCGGAAAAGAGCTGAACAGAAGATGGCGAAGAGCAGCTATCCATTTTGTACTTGCTGTAATGAAATGGGTAAAGGCCTTGAGGTAGACCAGAAGGGAAGAGCAGCTCAGGTTTCCTCAAGCCAGCCCAACCTGAAGAGAACATTTAAGCCTCACATTGCGATATTGAAGAGCATAAAATTGATTGACACCAGGAACATCAAAGGGAGATAAAAGTGATGCTCCCAAAATACTTGTTGACCATCATTCAACCGTTTCAAGAGAGTAGATGATCAAGAACTGATGGTACGAAAGGAAGACGGCCCAGCTGTAGTGCAGGCATTGGCAGAAAACAAGGCTCCTAGAATTGATGGAATACCAATTGAGATGTTTCAGCAAACAGACTCAACACCGGAAGAAATTTGGAAGACCACTGACATCAATATTCCATTGCAAAGAAAGGCCATCAAACAGAATGTGGAAATTACTGAACAGTTATCATTAATATCACAAGTAAAATTTTGCTGAAGATTTTTAAATGCTTACAACAGTATTTCAGTAGGGGCCTGTCAGCAATTCTGGCTGGTTCCTGAAGAGGACATGTAGTGAAAGATAGCATTGCTGATGTCAGATTGATCTTGACTGAAAGCAGAGGACACCAGAAAGATGTTTACCTATGTTCAGTCAACTTTGCAAAGTCACTAGACGATGTGGATCACAGCAAATTAGGAATAACGTTGTGAAGAATGGAAATTCCAGAACATTTGATTGTGCTCAGATGGAACCAAGAGACAGTTGTTCATATCCAGAAAGATGTGTGACAGGACTGTATCTGCTGGGCAGATAATTCAAGAAGCTGGACAGTTTGAAGAAGAACATAGAATCAAGCCTGGAGGAAGACTCATTAACAACCTGTGATATGCCGATGACATAGCCTTGCTAGCTGAAGGTGAAGAGGACTTGAAGCACTGGTGAAGCTCCACACAGCCGTCAGGTTGGATCCCACCTCAACCTAAAGAAAGCAGAGCTGCTCACAGGTGGACCAATAAGCGGGGAAAAGATGGCAGTTGGCAAGGATTTCATCCTACTTACATCCACAGTCATCACCCATAAAGCAGCAGTCAGGAAATCCAGTGACATACTACATTGGGCAGACCTGCTGCAAAGATCTCTTCAAAGTGTTCAAAAGCTAAAATGATGTTTTTCTGTTTAAGGTGCACCTAACCCAAGCAAGCCATAGTATTTTCAATCACCTCATTGTTGCTAAGTGCCAGCGAGTTGGTTCTGACACATTAGCGACCTTGCATAGCATTTCCAGGGAGCGGCTGGTGAGCTTGAACCACTGACCTTGTAGTTCAAACCGACCTGGCAGTCCAGTGCATTATCCCACAGCACTAAATCACATGTTGTTGTTGTTGTGATGTGCCGTGGAGTTGGTTCCGGCCCATAGCAACCCTGCACAGGGTTTCTGAGGCTGTAAATCTTGACAGGAGCAGAAAGCCTCATCTTTCTCCTGCGGAACAACTGGTAGTTTCGAACTGCTGACCCTGAGGTTAGCAGTCCGATGCGTAACCACTGCGCTATCAGAGCTCCTTATAGGTACCCAAAAACTGGACAAATGAGTAAGGAAGACAAGAATTGATACATTTGGTTTTGACAAGGAGGTTTCTGTTGTGTCTCACCCATGAATATATCAGGGGCTGCCAGAACCAACAAATCTGTCTTGGAAGAAGTATAAGCAGAATGCTTCTTAGAAGTGAGGCTAGGGAGGCGAGGTTTCACTTACTCTGGGTGTGTTATCAGAAGAGACTGGTCCTTAGATAAGAATAGGGAAGAAGATTCTCAAAGACATGGAGGGACACATGGCTACAACCCTGAGCTCAAACACTGAAGTGATTGTGAGGCAGGTGCAGGACTCGGCAGTATTTCCTGGTGTTGTGCAGAGGGTTGTGAAGAGTCAGGATAGACCGGTGGCACTAACAACAGCAACAACCCTGGGCCTCCCTGGGAAGCATATCTGTGTGGGCTTTCCCTTCCCTCCCTGAACTAATGCCGCAGCCTAAAACCTCAGAAGAAGCCCTGGCAAAATCCACACCAGCAACCAAGATAAGAGCATGGTTCTCTTCATGCATCGTGGCCAGTTTGTTTGTCTTTGTCCACCAGTGGGTCATCTCTGTTATGTGCTGTTTCTGTTTACAGGACTCCGTTCAACTTAGCAGCTTGGCTTTCATAGTAAATACAATTTGTTTTCCCATCATAACATTTTAATCTGATACAGAGTCATTAATTTTTGTTTTAAATAACTCTAAGCTTAAGGAGGGAGTCCTGGTGGCTCTGTAGGATAAGCGCAGGACTGTAAGGTCAGCTTGATCCACAGGGTCAGTGGTTCAAACTCACCAGAGGCTCCTCGGGGACCCTATACTGGGTTGCTACGTGTTGGAACCAACTCAATGACCTGTAACAACAACAATCTTATGTAGTTAGTAGCATTTCCTTTCTAACAGAACTTGATTTGTAGACACTGTGCTAATTCCTTTATCCGTCCACTCTGCCCAGCATCATTGTGCTTGCTGGCATAATTCTTAATGACTTTGGTGCTGATACACATATATCCCATTGTTTCACTAGTTTGTAATTATGGGTTGGGTTTTTTATTATCATGAAACTACACTCTTCCTGGAAAAGCTTGTGTAGAGATACAGCTCATGTGTCTCTAATGAACCGAAGTTTGCTTTATTTTATAAAACAAAAACTTTGAACTTGCACAACCAGCCTGTAAACCAGTCTTTTTCAAAATGTGGACCACACCTGAGACGTGGATGGCCATTTGCTAGTTGGCTAATAATATAGAAAGTGAAACAAAATGAGAGGCTAGGAAACCAAGCACATGGCACTGGGTAAAGGTAAGTGGTGTTCTGTGATACCTGGGTTTCCATTCTACTTTTAATTATAAATGTACACTAATTAGGCCATCGTTTGCAACATAGTTCTTCCTATAGCTCTCAACCCAAACTCTTCAAAAGTCTTGCTCTGGGAACGTCATCAGAAGTCAACATCTGGGAGGTGGTATCTCCTGTCCTGCTCTCATGTGCACATGGGGAAGGCGCTCTTCCCGTTACCCATGGACAGCCAGCCAGCAGCCTGGGAGAACTCAGTAACATAAAACCACTAACCAAATGGTTCAGGGTTGATCAGAGTGCGCTGCTTGGCGCTGTGAGTCACAGGACGGTTCATTGCTGGTCCCTGGTCTAGATTTGTCCATTCACGCTTACTCGTTGACCTTCTAAAAAGCTGCCTGCAGCACCTACATGTATCTCCTTGCCTTGTTTGGAGTTGACATTAAGGTAGCTGGAGAGAGCCGTGTTCTCCGAGGGAGAGCCGTGATCTGGGACCATCGACCTTTTTCTCACTCTGCCACCTTCTCTAGGTAGGACCACAGGGACTGGAGGCAGAGCCAGAGAAGGAATAGTT